TTTATCTCAGATTGTTTCACTATCCAGTCTAAGTAATTACTTAACGACTTGCTGACTATCCTCCAAATTAATTTTCTTAATWATTTGTGAGTTTTTGTTTACTATTCCATTAATTTTTTATGAATTATTTGTGTAATAAAATTCAGTTTCCTCTTCCTTTGAGTCCATTCATTGGTTGTGTTTCAGTGGTTGAGTGATTATTAGTTTAATGAAGCTGTTTTTGGTCAGTAAACTGACCTGCTGCCCCAGTTTTAACGAGTGTAGGAATAAGTGCAGCACAAAGTCAGCCTTCTTCCCTCCTCACCCACATCTCCACTGCAGAGGGAAGAACAGACGTTTGTGTAAATGTCGGTGGATAAACTTTCATTTGGAAACCACAGAATGAACATTATCCTTTACTGGAATAAAGCAAACACGTTTAATAAGCTGACAGACTCACTCTAGAATTACAAGAAATACTTTCTACCATTGAAAGTGATGAACTCGAGAGCTCCAGTTYTTCACACCGACACTGAAGAGTTGTTTGTTCATTTCATTGTCTGCTCAGAACTTACTGCAAACTTCACTTTATCATCATCATCCTGCATTTCCTCATTATTAAAACTCATTGTTGTGCTGCCCTGCARCCTGTCCTCAGTTTGTGTAGAGCTCTCTAAAGTTAGACATGACTACAGGGTCTGAAGTGAGCTGCAGCCCATCTGTTAAACATTTTTCTTTAATCACTCACTTATTTTGTTGCTCCCTTCTCACATTCAGAACATGCAGCAATTCACCTCAACTATGTGAGAGCTCAGAGTGAGACGCAACACAAAGTAGGTAGGCTGCAGCAAGCCGTCCACAGAAACATCAGGAAACTTTGGTGATATGTCAGGGTGTRGCAGTCAGGACACCACTGCTCTCTTACATCCACACTTTCTTCCTTCCAGCCTCTCTCCAGCTCAGTGTGAGGCTTTTCCACTAATGTGGAGGAATTTCTGCAGAGTCACAACTGGTTGTGATTTGAAGAGTTTCCTGAGGTTTTTGATTCCTGTCACACAGGGACAAAGTAAAGGCTACAGCTGCCCCCCCACCACACACAAGCAGACAAAAAGACGGAGGGGTGGGGGTGGGGAGGCCAGGGCGGACTTTGACACATTCTTGGCCRATGGCTCCGATACTCTCTCCCGCTTTTTTTCTCTCCTCTTCCAGCTCTCTCCCTCCTTTTTGTGGTGAGTCGAGCAATTCTTTCCAAACAAGAGCAGCCTCATCTCTGATCCAAGCTCTCTGGCTTTGATTAGCTGTTTAATGAGCCTGCCGTCGGTATGCTGCGGTCTATAGGAACACTCACTGCAAAGCCACATACACAAATGTACAAACGCACAAATCCCGTTTGTGTGTCTGAATACAGCATAACGCAGTATTATAAACAAAGCCAAGATGTTTGGGTACAATCAGACAGATGTTGGGTCGGCTCCAAACCTCCTCTCTTTTTTTTCTGCTCGCATTTGTYTCACACAAACTGTACAAAGCAGCTCAGTCCTCAACAAGCTGGGATACAACCAGCTGCTCACTGAACGTACCTGTAGATCAGGTGTGAAAGGTGAACAGAAGGAGAGCACAGCTCTGATGACTCCCATCCCTCCACAGACAAATATCACAAAAAGCCCTCAGCCAGCACACTGCAAAACCTGTCCATCTTACCAAGTTTTAAAACCTTATATCAGCCAAAAAGTCTTTTTGATCTTGTTTTCAGACTGATTTACTAAACAAGAACTGATTGTGTAAGAATAATCATCTTGTTTTCAGAATGTGTAAGATTATTTGTCTTGTTAGTCTGAAAATTTGACTCAGATTACATCAAAAATTTCTACCAATGGTGTAAGAAAATTTTACTTGGTAAAATTCTTGAAATAAGAAAAAAATTGAGTCAAATCAAGTATTTCAAG